CTCTTTTAATCTCTTGTTTTAAGGGTTGTATCTCATGATTTTGGCATGATTTAGTTCATCTGACCCCTAGAAGCAAAGGTCCCATATCAACCTTCTGAACACTAGTGTTAATATTTTTAAAAAAAATCAAAATATGGCCACACTGTTATGGGTAAAGTAAGTTCATTACCATATAACCTGATAAACTTCTTTTAACAAACAAGGTTTTGGAAAAGGAGCATAGTATTTACTCTTCTGTTTACACATTTGTTCTTTCTTCAGACATTACCTTAATAGGTTCATTTGCCTACAAGTGCATTAACCAATGAAATACAGTAGAATTTTGAACCCAAGTTTGAAAAAAACAATAACCTAGGAAATTTTATGTTGTTCTTGCTTGTTGTTCAGCTGCTGAGTGATGTAATGGAGTTGACATTTTTATAACAGATTAGAAACTAAACTTAAGCACCCCTTGAAGTTATGATGGGTGGCCATATTTTTCTAGACATCAATAGGCCATTTGCAAGTTGTCCCAAGCCTCTGTTTCATAATGAGGCTAAGTGTGAAGCTATTGATATGAAAATATTATTTTTTATTCTCATGCAAATAAAACTTGTTTTCACAAGAAAGGTTTTGCACCTTAGCCTCATTTTTAAAGTGAGAGTTTTGGAACTCAGAAATGGCCTATTGGAGACATTACATAATACTTTGTAAAGAATATATCTGTGTAAAGAATAGGAGAAACTTTAAACATTGAATTTAGAGGTAATTATACAATCTTTCCTTCCCAAGAGTCTTAAAATCAAAAATCAATAAGATAATAATTTTCAATTTGTTAAATACTGACTTACAACGGTTGTGATGGAAGAGATACTGCTCTGATTAGCTTTTATTTGAATGCTATACACTTAGGATTTCATCACAAAATTACCAAATTTATGAGAACTAACATTTAGCTTTTATGGGTGATTAACTCAAGGGAGGGTGAAATGGTATTTGTATGTGTAATCAAATGGTGACGAGTGAAATTAGGGAATAATTTCACATGCGTTTTGTCCAAATTCTAATAATTTCCCGAGCTGAATTGTTGAATGCAAGTGAAATTATTCCCTAATTTCTATTTCAAAATTGTTATATGTAATTTCATGAGCCTTTAGGCGAGTGAAATTTGAGACAATTTGGAAATATAACGAGTGGTATTTATGCCAAATATCATGTACAAATCATGTTATTATTTGTTTATGCTACTACCGGCAAAAGGTTATTTCAAATGTAGGTATTTCAAATTAAGCTGAAATACCACTGCTGTAAGCCAATAAAATTGCAGAAATTTCTCATGTAGTAGTATAAACCACATAATAATGTTATGATTAAGGAGACAAATGAAAAACTAGTGGTTTACACTTTTTACTAATTTTATTATTTTCAAGTCATTACAGGATGTGGCTTAAATTATGTTGAGCATATTTCTTAAATAGACACCTTCCCTGGGTGAATTCAGAATTTTCACAAAGTGGGCGGTGTGAGACTTACCAGCCCTTAAACTATACATGTAGATTTTATTTTTTGGTAACAGAACTCCAAAAGCATCTGTATCCAAACAAGTAAAAGCTTTATAGACGACGGCTGTTTTATACTGGGAATTCATTTACAATTTTTACACAATTTGAGACAAAATTGGGGAGAGGGGTTTGGGACCATCTAAATCAACCCATGGTTTCCCCCAGCTTGTGTGGTAAGAGCTCTAAAGGGAGAAGAGAATTTGAGAGCACCAGAACGCGAAGAGGGCCCTTCACATTCATGCATACCAGTGTATTCACCTTTCCCATTTTTTCCCCAAGAACGACAAACATCAATTTTCTCTTAATAATATATATACACAATCGAGAGAATAGGTTATGAGAATTGATTAAATAATCAGCGGAGAAAAAATGCATTTATTTTTTTATTCTCTTTACTTATTCTTTTTGGAAATGTATAGAGACCAGTTTGGAGAATTTGTATGTGGATTTTGGGGCTTAAAGGATTAAACGCCTCCCGAATGGGCTGTACTTTCTCCAGATAAATGCGGGAATGCTATCCATTTGGGGTATATTGTAACACGAGCGAGAGGAATGCGAAGCGAGACGTGCGAACGCGGGTAGAGGGGAAGAATATAAAGCTCTCCTTTCGTCCACTCTTGTGACTTTACAAACGGGTGTTAACTTTCCTCACTAATGCAGCCAACAGCTAAATTGTGGAGGAACCAGAGGGGTGGGATTAGACATGTAAAAGGCGCGCTACGCTGCCACCTCAGTCCACATTAAAAGTGATCAAATTTTGAACACACCTCGCTCACCCAGCTCAATGATGGCACAAAGTCAGATAAACTATCCATATCCCTGCCCTTTTTGAAAAATATGCAGTCTTGCCAAGCCCCAAAAGGCAAAAAATGTGAGATTCTGAACCTATAGCTGGGAAAAGTAGTGAGAAAAGTCGTGAGATGTCCCAAATTTCCTAGTGGAATGACTTTCAGTGGAGATAATGGATAATGGCATTCACTACATTACTTTAAAGCTGGAGCAGTAACGATTTAGGTTTTGTAATTTCTATGTTTTGTTGGCGCCATCTTTAAACAAGAGAAACAGAAAGTCTACACATTTGGTGGCAGCTGCAAGTCGCCATAGGTTAAAGAATGTAATCAAACGCGCCCGGTAAGCGTTTTCCTTGGGTTGAGCTGGCTATCTGTTGATATCTAACTTAAAAGCGAACCCTACAGCTCTAAGAGGTTTTGCAGTTTGACTTTTCGAGAAAGCATGAGAAATCTGTTGCCAACTCGTGAGAGCGTAAGACAGATCCTTTAATCGTGAGACTCACAACAAAGTCATGAGACGAGAAAAGTCTGAATATGTCACGGGTTTTTTACGTCCTCTTCCACCGATGCGCAAGGATGAAGGAACAAGGCCAACGTCTATGTCCCCTACTCTTTCAGTTGTGCTCTTTTTGAACAATATGCCACGTTTGTTTACGTCCCTTCAAGGATAAAGGAACAAGGTCAGAGGCTTTATGTTACCGCCCAATAAGGCAATCATCTGAACTGAGACTGAGAAGGGATTTTAATCACAGCTGGCATGCCTCACCAGTCTTTTCAAGACCTTAGTTGCGCTGGTGCAGCGGGCTTTGAACCCAGATCCTCCCGCTCAGAAGACCCGCACTCCTCCGACTGGGCTAACCAGGCGGCTCCTTGGGCGGCTCCCTGTCCTCCCCCCACCTAGCTTACGTAGCAGGCGTTAAAGGGAGGAGGGGAAGGGTAGGAAAGAGAAGAAGGGAACGCCTGCTACAAAATCTGCGTCTTTTGCTTCTTTCATTTATCCCAGCTGTCACTTCAACGACCAATCAGAATTAGGCGCGTGCTTTTCTGCATGACTTNGGCCCCTTCTTTTCTCCTTGCCCTCCCCTCCCTCCCCCCCCCACCCCCCCTCCCCTTCCTTCCCTTCTTCCCTTTCCCCCCCCTCCCCCTCCCCCCCCCCGCTTTAATGCCTGCTACGCAGGCTACCCCCCCCCCCCAACTTGCCCTTAGCAAAGAAGAACAACTTCACAAGAAAGAGCTTTTATTAGGGTCTTAGCATCTCAATAATAGTACTTTAACATGATACGCTCGTGAGCTCTAAAGACAGTAACACATAACTCGGGTCGCCATTTTTAAAAACTACCATTCGTTTTCAGTGAAATTTTAAAAAAATATATTAAGTGAGAAATCCTCCTTACTCAATCAAGTATCAAGGTGCAATAAAAGAAGACAGGTGCAAATATCTTCAGTCCTGTATGGTGTCCTGATTGAAATACTAGGAAGGTTGAAAACCGAAATTTCGGGCAAATACACAACCTCGTCCCCAGGGCTTTTTCCTCAAAAAATGGCTGTGTGATTTTCGTTTTTTTAGATCTTTTGTTTTGTTTGTTTTATTGTTCGTTTGTTTGTTTGTTTTTACCGAGAGGTTCTGTTTCTCCGATTTTTTTCCTTTCTTGCAATCATTTTGCCGTAAGGATCAGTCTACTATTTTTCTTCTTAGAATTTATAAAGTTATTTACTGATCCTTCTTTCTTCACTGATATTAATGGTTTCCTTGTCCTATTCACATCCTCACCAAAGTGCGATCTTCTATAAAATATGAGTGAAGTTCTTGTTTCTCTCACCGAGGAAAACTGCCATGAGCTGATCGCAACTGCGGTCACTGCGGAGTCTTCCCGGATTAAAATCAATGGCTTGTTGTGTCTTGAAAAAGAAATTGGTGATAGATAATTATCTCTTCGGTTATTATTTTGCTGACAAGTATCATTGTGCAGAGCTGAAATTAAAGGAAATGTTTTAGGAGGATCAATTCAAATTTCACTGCTGTGATGTAAAGAGTTATGAAGAAGATATCAAACAATATTTCACCAGGGAGCTTTCCTGAATAGTGCCGAAGAAGAAGCATCAAGGGAATTGTCAAGTGGGTGTCTCACAACGAGGAGTGAAATAGACTACGAGTAGTCCCCCATTTTTCTTCAGGGATAGTAGAGCGAGCGAAACGCGAGCGCGCGTGAAAATCACCCCATGCGAGAAAGGCGAGACGCGGTGTCGCCTTTTCTCGCGTGGGGTGATTTTCACGCGCGCTCGCGTTTCGCTCGCTCTACTATCCCTGAGGAAAAAAGGGGGACTACTCGTAGTCTAGGAGTGAAAGGGAAAGCTGTTTTCCTGATCTTTTGCGGCAAGTCCGACTAAGGTCTTTGTCAAAAGATTTTCTTCTTAAGAAATTAGTGAAGGAAGACCTCGTAACCACAAATATAGACTGCCTTAACTTTGTGATGGGTATATCGATTGACTACTCCGGGTTCCCCACAACTTCTATAATAGATTCATAAATAATGATGCACCTTTTAGATCTAACCGCTTAACCGCAATTTAAAAACATGAAGGGCCAAGCTTCTTTAGATATGTGAATGCTAGTGTCATTTCCACTATACATATTCCTTTAAGTAGCCTGCGAGGAGGAACGGATGTTTTCGCAGGCTATCCTTTAAGCTACACTGTACTGCTGTACTGTTTCACTCACTCATAAAGTTAGCGTCTTTTTTCTTATAATTAAATTAGTTTCTTTCTTTGTTCTTTCCTTCTTTTATGAATTTAGTTTTTTACTTTCAGCCCGCTGTGAAACTAGAAAATAGCTTAAATAGTTAAAGAACTTGTATTTGTAATTATTTTTGTTTCAAACAAATATATATGAAAAAAAAAGTAAAGATGCACCACTGCCCAGTATCTACTGGCAGCATTTTACTTACAATTTGTAATCTCTAGTTTAGGACCCTAACTTCCCTACTTTCAAGTTACTGGGTGATTTTTATGTGATTTGGTCAGTAAGGGCGAGGAAGTTTTAAAGGACGCGAAGTCTATTTTTGAGCGACATTTTCCTTGTTTACCTGTACCTGTATCCCTTTGAATAGAAGTCGTCGTAGGTCGCAGCCTCTCTCTCCCGGCCGACGACCTTTGTTCGGTCCAGTCCCCCATCTTTTGTCGAATGTTTCCAAATCGAGGCAGTCTCTCACTTCCGCCAACAAACATGGCCGACTTGACTGAACCCATGACAGCAGATCCTGCAAAACATCGTGACCAACTTTTTGAGCGTCTCGATAGTCTGAGAAGAAAGGAAACCTTTTGCGATGTGACAGTTACAGTGAACGGCAAAGAATTCAAAGCTTACAAAGTCGTTCTAGCTGCGGTCAGCCCGTTCTTCCTGTCACTTTTGGAAAGCGACATGAGGGAAAGAAACGAACAACGGATCGAAATCAAGCTTGAAGAGGCTACTGTTTCTGTCATGGAAGACGTGCTACAATACATTTACACTGGAAATGTTACCGTCACAGAGGAAAGCTGCCACAAGCTGATTGCAACCGCGGATTATCTCCTTCTTCCGGGGTTAAAAACATTGGCTAGTGTCTTCTTAAAAGGGAAGTTGACAGTTGAGAACTGTGTTTTCAACTATTATTATGCTGATAGGTATCATTGCGAAGAGCTGAAACGAGCATGTCGCACAGAGATTCTTTCAAATTTCACTGCTGTGATGGAAACAGAAGATTTTCTTAACCTTGACATAAAGCACATCTTAGAGTGGGTGTCTAGTGATGATATAACAGTCAGTAGCGAGGAAGAAGTATTCAAGGGAATTGTCAAGTGGGTGTCTTACAACAGGAGTGACAGAGAAAGCTCTTTCCTTGATTTGTTGCGCCACATCCGCTTAAGATCTATACCACACGACTTTCTACTGAAGAAATTGGTGAAGGAAGAACTCATAACTGGAAATAATGACTGCTTAAACTATTTGCTGGGGTCCATGGAGTCAATTTTTATTGCCACAGATGAAAGTCTTAGCAAAGCACCAAGAAATTGCTTGAAGGTTCAAGTGGAAGGAATTTTTTTGTGTGGTGGCAGGAAGNAGGGAATTGTCAAGTGGGTGTCTTACAACAGGAGTGACAGAGAAAGCTCTTTCCTTGATTTGTTGCGCCACATCCGCTTAAGATCTATACCACACGACTTTCTACTGAAGAAATTGGTGAAGGAAGAACTCATAACTGGAAATAATGACTGCTTAAACTATTTGCTGGGGTCCATGGAGTCAATTTTTATTGCCACAGATGAAAGTCTTAGCAAAGCACCAAGAAATTGCTTGAAGGTTCAAGTGGAAGGAATTTTTTTGTGTGGTGGCAGGAAGGCATTGTGTTATCTTCCCCAAGTAAATATGTGGTATAAAATGGCAGACATGTCTTTTGAACATCAAAACCATTCTCTGCTACTGGACCGGCAAAGGGTTTACATTTTTAGTAAGCAAAATACAGATATTCAATCTCATTTAGTGGAGTACTATGTGCCTTCCACAAACCTCTGGTGTTCATTTCAGTCAGGCTTTGAGTATGATGAGCAATTCTGTAGTGTGTCAGCAGTGAGTGGTTATTCATTTTTGAATGCTTTAACCTTTGATGAACATATTCCTTACATGTCCACATATGACATTAATACTAATAACTGGAATATGCAAGAAGATACGCCTATAAATCGATGGGGAGTCTGTGCCATATCACGGGGACACCACATTTATATAATAGGTGGTACTAATTCTGGGGATGATGTAGCTGCTGGAAATACTAAAGTGGAAAGATTTAATCCAAGTAATGAGAGTGTTGAAGAGGTTGCACCTTTGAATGAGGCAAGGCATGATGCATTTGGAGCAGTTATGAATGACAAGATATATGTTGCAGGTGGAATTCAGATGTTAGAACAACGATGTAGACTTCTCAACACATGCGAGGTATATGACCCATCAACCAATGAGTGGCATCTGATGGCAGACCTCTGTGTACCACGTCATTCAGCAAGCATGGTCTGCTTTAAAGAAGCTTTGTATGTTATTGGTGGGTTAAAGAATACCAACAATCAAGTTGTAACCAGGGAGATGTCTGTTGAAATGTTTGATTTTGAAACAAGTGAATGGAAGAAGAAGAGCACCATACCTGTTGGTGGCGAAAGTGGAGATGAGAGAGATAAACAAATACACTACAAAGCTTGTACTGCAACAATTCATAAAGATGTGTTAGTGGAAGAGAATCTCGTTACCAGTGAACAGAACGTTACGCATGCTGTAGTTGACACAGATAGATAGATAGATAGATAGATAGATAGATAGATAGATAGATAGATAGATAGATAGATAGATAGATAGATAGATAGATAGTTTATTAAAACTACATCGCAGCCAAAGGCTGAATTACACAATTATTTACAAAAACTTTACAATAGATGGTTTTCACTGTGACGTCATCAAACTGTCGTCAAAATAGCGAGGTTTTACGAATTTGTATTTACACTAGGTTGAAGAATAAACAAAAAGTATATCTTTGTACAAGTTTCCATTTATGTAGCATGTTTCATTTCGAGAATACAGCAATTGGAACTTCCAAGTTTTCATAATGCGTGACACCAAAATAGGAATGCTGTCTCGTTGAAAAAAAGTCTCTCCTCTTGATTTTCAGAAGTATAACCACTTCAAGTATTAGAAGATATGTTTATTCGTACATATGCTAGTTCTCGAGTGACAAGAAAGAACTTTTATAGAAAAAGTGAACTCCAGATGTTTTTGTTGATTTCCGGCGGCCATATCGGTGCACCAAAACAGTGCACCAATATGGCGTCTCCATACAAAGCTCTACAAAGGTGCGTAAAACGTTTCGGCAAATAACTCAGAAACTATGGGCCACAAAGACCGGAGACTTGGATAAATTGTTATATATTATTCTTTTATAGCATGTCATTCTCTTGGCTTCTTCCACTGGACGGTTTCCAATTTAATTTTTTGTTGCGTGACAGTGAAAACTATCTATACTTGAAAATTACAAGTGAATCCTAGACAATAAGTCGAAAACTAATTTTTAAGATAATATTAAAAATTCTATACAACATATTCATATTGAAATATGTTAAAATATAAAGCATGAATATAAGTGGGATAAGACTACAGCCCGGACTATTTCGACATCGCATATATGAAAGTATTACTTGTTCTGTTCGTGCAAAGCTTAGGCATATTAAAAAGGTGCTGCCATCTTAGGTTATAGCGTGAGTGGTCATAGTCTGGTAGAATGAGCACCTTCAATAAAATATTTATGGTTTGGATCACTGACAATGTTATCAAAAAGCCTGCTACATAGTATGTAATAATGCTCCAAAATGGGTGTTAACCCCACCTCTGTTGCCGAGTTGCACTTTCCTGAGGTTATTATTGATATTGCTCTTTTCTCGAGCCGTATCAGCTCTTTCTTTAAGTACTGGGGGAGACCGTTGAAAAAGACAGGTGCTGCATAAATAAATAACAGATCTCACACACGATACGTAGAACAGTGCTAGATCTTGTTTCGGAACTCCCGCTCTCTTTAACTGAGTTAGGAAATAGAGTCTCTTGCTAGCCTTTTTGGTTATTTCAGTTACATGGTCATTCCATGTTAGATCGTTCACTGTTGTAAGGCCTAGTAGCTTTGCACTAGTGACTAACTCTACCTCCTTTCCTTCTATGATGACGGGATCAAAGACTCTTTGCTCTTTAGCAAGTTGAATTTTACCAGTAAGTTGTCACTGCAAGACTAGTCCACAGCAAGCAGAGGAGTTATGTATAATATAAGTTAATTCATTTCTCCATTATTCAAACCACCATAAAATCGCACTGTTAAGAGTTCAAAACCTAACATGCTTTATGCTCTTTCAACTCTGATGTTTTTAGGGTTGTATCCTATAATTTTGGCATGAGATATAGCTGTAGGTCACCTCACCCCTAGCAGCAAAGGGCCCTTATCAATCCTCTGAACATTAGTATAAATTTGGCCACAGTAGTTAATATACTGTTTTGTTTACACAAATTTGTACTTCCCCAGACCCTACTGTGACAGGTTCATTTGCCTAAAAGTGCATACCATATAAAAATTTCAACACTAATAGATAATTCAGGAGCTGACCAAGAGGCAAAAAGAACACACAATTTCCTGGTCTATTTGTTTTTTTTAACTCTTTAAGTCCCAATGGTGACCGACATCAATTTTCTCCTAATGATACCAATACATTGTCAAGAGATTGGGTTATGAGAATTAATAAAATGATCACCAAAAACAAAATGCTTTGATCTTTCATCAAATTGTCTGAACACATTCATTGAGGAAATGTTAGAGATCAGTGGGGAGAATTTATTTCTGGATATTGGGGCTTAAAGGGTTAAAACTTGGATTCAAAATTCTATTGTAATGTATTGCATTGGTATGCATAGCCTGTGAGCAAGCTCTCCTGGGCGCTCTGGCGACGGGGCAGGAAAAGGAGGGAGAGCTTGCAACTACGTCTCTGGAATTTGAATGGGCAATTCCAGAAAATATCCATACCCAACCACGGACGGCTTCCATGTTTTAACCCCCCCTTGCCTTCGGAAATTCCAAAATGTGTTACCCCCCCATGCCCTCAGAATTCCATAATCGTGAACCCCCCTCCCCTTCAGAATTTCCGTTTTTTTGGAAGTACATTTTCGACTTAGCAATGCCTATATTGACAAACGAACATGAATTTATGCCTCCTCAAGGCTGTGATCTAGCGGCGTCAGGCGACAAGCTTTACTCTTCAGCGACAAGAAAAACCTACCGCTAGTAGCCAGGCTGTGCAAACGTCTTTTTAGGCCCGAATTTGACTATAAAAATAAACACCACTAACGGTAATTTTACTCCTCTTTGTTTTCTTGTGCTGTTTTGACGTTTACAAAGCAAAATAGCTCAAATTCAGACTGTTAAAATCTTTCGGCGGTCAATTATATTGTCGAGTCGTGTTGCGTCCTTTTATACGTCATGTAGTGATCACGAAAAGTGTTCTAATCTGACAGGCGTTCCTTGNCCCCCCCCCCCCCCCTCCCCTTCGGAAATCCTAAAAGCCGTCCGTGGTATGGTATGGATATTTTCTGGAATCGCCCAATATCTGCATGGAAAAAGTAATGCGAAGTGCTGATTGGCGGAGATGATATTAGTAATGATGTCATTACCCTTGGTGGTCCATGCTTTCACATGTTTTTCAAAGTTTGTTACATTCCCACTCGTTTCCGCTTCGTGCTGATTGGCAGAAGTCTGACAGCTCAGTCAACAGAGAGCCACAGGGAAATTGGAGGCGGAAATTGAAAAAAGGACTTGAGACTAGGCCATTCCCAAGTTCCTATAACTGACACTAAATACAAAACCTTTCTTGTTAACATAGTTAGTCTTGCTCGCGTGAGAATAAAAATTCATTAATTTATTATCCTTGTTTCTACACAGAGGCGTGGAGCAACTTGGAAATGGCCCGCAATGAGCTCAACTACGCACTTGGCAAGTTGCATATATAATTTAGGTGTTTCATTTAACAGGTATAAGCTTAAAGAAGTGGTACAGCAATATGAGAAGGCAAATGCCAAGAGTCAGCTTTATCAAAATCGAGAGTGAGCCTTTTACTTATTCTGGGAAAATTGTACTATTATCTACTATTTCTTGATTTTACTTTTGACAGCAGCTCCCAGCAGCAGCAACCATTTTTAACAAGTTATGTTAGTATTCACTCGACCTTTCTCTACTCCATATCTATTAGCTAGAAAGTGAGCACCTGACATGCAAAACACTACGACTTGGATTTTAAGCTAAAAATAGATAGAATCGAACAGCTAGAATATGTTACAATGCATCTGTAATAGTACTCACCGTCACTCACTCACTCACTCATGAAGTAGTTTTTCTAACTGAAGTAATAATCCGGGTAAGGTGTATAGCAATTTCTTTTGTTATGCGGCAACAGTGCTTTCCCCACATAGGAATGTTCTCATTTTCACACAGAGAATGCATAAACCTACATGAAGGCCGTTTACGCAATAAAATGCATTTACATTCCACTTTGAAAGGGTGATTTTTTTGTGTTAAAAGATTTTGACCAATCACAAGAGTTGAAAACAATAGCCAAGAAAAAAAAAAAGTTTACAATTTTACATGTTCCCCACATAGGATTTCTTTGTTATTCAAACTGAGACCAGATTTTGTTATATGGAAGATGGTTGCAAATTAAGGATGAAGATATGTACTGCTTTATGAAGTTTTGTTAACTTTTGCTGTTTAAGCCAATCAGAAGTAAGCTAAAAAGTACAGACAATAGAAAAGTTAGCACCTTTTTTGCATTCCAACTTGTTCATTGCCATTGTTGCTATCGTTCTTATCTGGACCGTTTCTTAATATTGGGTTCTTTGTTGTTGTTAAGCTACGCAAAAACGGGCAACAAAAAAGTGCAACCTGTTTTGCAACATTGATGCAAAATGACTAATTTTACCACCCTCCTTCACACCTGTTGCAACAAATTAGGTTTTTGCAAGATGCGCGAATACTGACCGTTCATTGGTTAAAATTACGCGGAAGTCATGCCATACGTAGAAGTTATTCACTTTATTCAGTTAGTCACTTCCTGCAAAACAAGTTTGCCTTGGGCAAGTAAAGCAACATGAGCAGATTTTGTTGCAAAATGTATAATTTCTTTCTGCTCTCTGCAACAACTTTTCGCAATCTGCAACAACCCAGTTTGTTGCAGGACAAAGTTGACTCGTGGGTGGTAAAACGCAGAAAATCGCCATTCAATTCGTTTTGCACCTATGTTGCAATTCAAGTTGCAAGTTGTTGTTGCCCGTTTTACCCTACCTTTAATACAAATTGCATCCTTCATGGGCGGATGGAGGATTTTGTGATGGGGGGCCTAGAGCTATAGCATACAGTGACAATATAGGCGCGATAGCGTCCATCAGGACTGCGAATGGTACACTTTTCGAGGGAGTTTCGGGCGCATGCTCCTCCGGGAAGTTATTGAGATTGAAGTTATCTGAGATGCAACCTAGTACATTCTGGACGCTTAAATTTAGCAAATGCCTGTATTCCATATTGAACATGCAACGCTGAAATATTTAATAAACCACATACAGGTGTGGTTGTGGTCAAAGAAGTAATATAACAGTTTATGATGCTAACGGGGGCCGAAGCCGATTGCAGCGAGAGCACAACCTCCCGGCTAAGGCGGTCTCATTGTCTCCCTGAAAAATTG